AATATTATATAAAATAATTATATAATATTATTACTGAACGTCTTTTAAATTTTGTATTTAAGTAAATTGAAAACTCTTAAGTATTATATAATAACGAGAAATGTATATTTTTCATCATGATTTATTTTATATATCAAAATATCATTATAAAATGAAGACCAACAGAGTTCGACATTTGAATACAGGGTTGGCCATATTCGACGGAAAGATGTTTTTTTTTTCAATCATGGGAAACGTCGTTACTCGATCTAACATCTCTTTCCCATGATTGAAAAAAAAACATCTTTCCGTCGAATATGGCCAACCCTGTATTCACTTACCTCTGGATGTTTTAAATTAATAACTCTTTCCAAAGCAATGAATAATACATAATTTGCAGCACTTAATGAGCTAGCAGTTCCATAAACTGAATGTGCAACAAATGCCTCTTCGCAGAATGGAATTATCTTGAATATCATCAATCCTGCGAAAATAAGTAAAAGCTATACATAATAATTCGAAATTAGACTAATGAGAATAAATAAATTAATTGAGAGAAATAATCCTATTTTCGTACAAAGTGAATGTTAGTGCTTAAATATTTCAGTATGAATTTATATTCAATTCTGCAAACCACGCGCTAAAAATCTTTTTCAATTTTGAAATGCAAATATAAACAAAACTGAAGTATTAATATCACCTATTAAATTGACAAGCAATTCAATAATATTGATGATAACAAGAATCTTAGAAAGATATTAATAATTTGATGCTAATGTAAGTTTCTTAAAAGCTGTAAATTATTTATTGCGAAAAATATTACCTCGGCCAGGATTCAAACTCGAAGGTCTCGAATTCCATAAGGATGTCCTTTTGATTTGACGGAGATTTCAGTAATATTTTTCGCAATAACCAAAAACTAGTACAAGAAAGATTGTTTTTTAAGAAAACATATATAAACAATTATAATTTGGAATTAGATCAGCAAGATAAAGCAATTAATTAAGAGAAATAATTCTATTTTCGATCAAAGTGAATGCTTAAATATTTCAGTGTGATTTTATATATGTATATATTATATATGTATATATATATCCAATTTTGCAAATTACGCAGAAAAAATTATAATTTTTATAAAAATATTAAATTTTAGATTAATATAATTGCAGGTACTTTGCAAAATACCTGCACTTTAATTAATATCCAATTTTTAACATATGCAATTGTTACAAAAAACAAAATTATTTAAAGATATAATTTTATAGTTAATGAGAAAGATATGTAAAAAAAGACACAAAACAAAATATTATGTTGATAATTAACAGAATGAAAACTTACAGAATGCTCGAATTGTGAAGCATATTTATTATATCATCGATTTCTTGGACTTTATCATCTGATATCTTTAGCCAATAATTAAAAGCTTTTGCTAATTTTATTCTTATTTGTTTTCCGGGAACTTGAAGAATATACCTAATTGGTTCCAATAATTTCTGCAAGAAATTTCATTTCTAAATTTCATCTAATTCAATTAAAAAATAGCAAAAACATAACAAAAATAAAGAGATTGATGTATAACTATCTAATGTCTAAATTCTAAGCAGAATTGTAAGGCTCGTAACATATTTCTGTAAGATATGTAAGAATTTTAAGTGCTTATACCTTTATATAATATTTTTACAAACAGCTTCTTACAAGCCATAAAATTTACATGAAATCGATGAATAGATATTTACGAATAATCACAAATAAAATTAGAATACTAATTATAAGTTCTTATAAATACTATGAAAACACATTACAAGTTTTACGATTTTGCTTAGAATTAATTGAAACAACAAAAATTTTCGTAATTTCCAAAAATTGCCTAATATTCAAGATTTCAAATGATGAAATTTAAATTACTAAACATTTCATGATCATTTTCCTAGAAAAAGAAATTTTTTTTAAACATATAGAGAAGTTTTCTTTGTAAGAAATTTCTAAATATTATTAAAAATGTTATATTAAAGTTAAATAAAAGGAAAGAGAAGTTAAATGAAAGTAAAGAAGATTATTCAATAAAATTTATAAAATAAAAGAACTGTTTTTTAAAGTTATTTAACACATTTTCAGAATTTATATATAATGTCAAAAGTAAAAAGTAAAGCTGTAAAAGTAAAAAAGTAGAATTAAAAAGAGTAGAATTAAAAAGAAAATAATTTTTTATAATTATATAATAATTATTTTTAT